ATTTTGTAGAGAATTTCAAGCGCTATCTTTTAGTATAAAAAGATGTCCCGATCTAATGGATAATAGAAGAGTTATACTCAAAATACGAATGGTATAATTTATTCTGGGACACCCGTTAGTAGTTTCAGTTGTTGTCGTTGTTGTAGTAGTTTCAGTTGTTGTCGTTGTTGTAGTAGTTTCAGTTGTTGTCGTTGTTGTAGTAGTTTTATTCGTTGTGGTTGTCGGTGTTGTTGTGGTAGTTTTAGTCGTTGTCGTTGTCGGTGTTGTTGTAGTAGTTGTAGTTGATGTCGTTGTCGGTGTTGTTGTAGTAGTTGTAGTTGATGTCGTTGTCGGTGTTGTTGTAGTAGTTGTAGTTGATGTCGTTGTCGGTGTTGTTGTCGTTGTTGGATTCACAATGCTGGTCCAAATAAAGGTCGCTCTAGTTGGGCCAGTTGCAACGATTGAGAATGGCCCAATCACATTTGGACTGTAAGTTGTAACAACAAAAATAATTGTATAAGCGGAAGGAAAATTCAGTGTAAATTGGAATTCCCAATTATCAGTTTCACTATCATCGAATGACGTAAAGAAGTTTAAAGCCGGATTGGATGGATTAAAACTTGTGTAATAGAGAGAGACAAACGAGTCAATAGTACTGTCACATTGAAAAGTATATAAGCCACCCATTGGAACTGTCACTTGAATAGTTTCATAGTAGTAATTAGCTGCAAAGCCGCCAATACGAGCGTATATTGGATGGTTGCTTGTGAATTCACTTGAATAGATTACTGTATTCAGATATTCATTTGCTATACAGTAGAAAGAATCAAAACTATCATAGTCCATAATGTTGATAGATAGTCAGTATTCCTGATATTCATTCGTCTCAAAAAATCATACTAATGGAATTAAACTACTTTGAAACGATACCTAAGTGACACAGCTATATTGATAATCGAAATTATGTACTATAGACAAAGCTGTATTTTATAAATATATGGTTAAAATACAGATGAACTGCTAACGAAAGAAGCTGTGACAGTTTTTGTTTTCCAAAACTATGAAACGTTTTGCTTCTTATCCGGAATATGGCTTGAAAACAGTTCTATGCCCATGTTTGGTACTGCAATCAATTTTGCAATAAGTCAGCATGTGGAAGTCAAAAGTTCATGATAAGTCAGAAAATTCAAAAACTTCTATCTCATTCAGTTTGCTCTCGAACAGTCCACACTCGAGACTATTTCTCTCTTTGCCTTCAATAAACTGTTAATTTCTTGAGACATAGCAAGCTTAAAAGGATTTAGTCTATTTTCGCCGAAAAAGTTTTTTGCCGAAGACGAATTTCGCCGAAAACAAATTCGCCGAAAATGAAGTTCGCCGATTCCACTTTCACCGAACGAACTTATCACCGAAAAAAAAATATAAGTTGAATTTAATCGGTCATATAGACAATAATTATATTTTAGATAATTATTCCATGATACTAAGTCAGTTAGAACCACGTGAGATGGCTTCCAAGTCGGTTGAATTGACTACCTAGTCAGATGGTAGCCATATGAGTTGGTAGCCATGTGAGTTGGTAACCAACTGAGTTGGTAACCATCTGAGTTGGTTACCATCTGAGTTGGTTACCATCTGAGTTGGTTACCAAGTCGGCTACCTTCAAAAAATGGATGAATATTACACACTTTGCGTTTATGATAAGTTAAAGTGAACGTAGGAACGGCCTTTGTTTAGATACAAATGCGCATGTGTTCATTTCATATATTCATATATTTATCTAGTACTTGAAGACAAGAAGGAAACGAAAGAAAAATATCTACTGATCAATTCGAAACAAAAATCATTTTTAGTTTTCTTTTGAACGTTTATGTCCTATTGTACTTGTAAACTTAGTTGTACTTGCACGTCTTTTACTATTAGTCGGTGTAAACGCATTCCACATTGTTAATTGGGAGATAAAACGATTTTGTTTTTTAATCTCATCATCAATTGTCTTTGGATTTTACTAAAGACAGGTGTAAAATAACGATACGATAGTTTTTGAAATAGATTCGTGTTGCAAAGTACCTTTGGCTGGTAGATTGAGTCAGTTGGTTACCAACTCAGATGGCTACCAACTCAGTTGGTTACCTACTCAGATGATTACCAACTCACATGGCTACCAACTCAGATGGCTATCATCTGACTTGGTAGTCAATTCAACCGACTTGGAAGCCATCTCACGTGGTTCTCACTGGCTTAGTGTCATGAAATAATTATCTAAAATATAATTGTTGTCTACTTGACCGATTAAATTCAACTTATATTTTTTTCGGTGATAAATTCATTCGGTGAAAATGGAATCGGCGAACTTCATTTTCGGCGAATTTGTTTTCGGCGAAATTCGTCTTCGGCGAAAATGGAATTTACCGCTTAAAAGCAGAGTTTTTTAGGAGTTAGTTCATTTCGACAACCGAATCGAACATGATAAGAGTTGAGTAAATATCTATTTGAGTGTTCGAAGCTATATGAATTTGTCAAATGAATTTTTCATTACCTACGTACAGTTCGATTTCAACTTCGTCATTTATCTGTGTTACACGTTTGATAAATGTAATAAGAAAATTCATGGTAATATAAGAAAATGAATTCTACAAATGCGATGTAGCTGTGAGATTTTGATGAAACAATTGTTTTCAAATCTACTTCAATTAACTTTCTCTAATACTGTTGATTTTTTTCTAAATTTTTCGATCGCTTTCGTTCGAATATGATTCATTCTCGTAGAAGTTTTGTGATGTTCATATTCATGATTACCTATGTCGATCATTTATACACCTATGGAATTCATATAAAAACCTGAAATATTTTTGTATTTTTTTTTTTTGAAAGACCTACGTTACCATTGTTCAGAAACAATATGATTCGACTAACAAGTCTAAATTGCGTGCAACTCACTATATAATAGTAAGTGTACGTTTCAATATGAATTCGAGGAGTCGCTTTCAAAGATAGTAATACTTGAAGAACAGCGTTATTTAGATAGAAATTTTCTTATATCATCTACTAGACTAGGAAAAGAAATAGCTTAGAAAATGTGTTTCCTGCATGGCGTATTAATTATTCGAATTTATAGTCTGAAATTATCTCTCAAAGCTATTTTTGTTCTTCTCTGTTAGCGCGGTATTGTCTTTCAACATTCAAGGGTAGGATGTATTTTATCGAATTTGAGAAGATATATCCAACTATTGACTGTTCTTTTCCAACTGACATTCATATGTAATAAAAATTCTTTACTTGGTGTGGACGGTGTTGTAGTTGATGGTAATGTAGGTCCAGTTGCTGAGCAATTATAGAAAAGTCGAATTTCTTGAATGTCAGTTGGACTTAATTTGTATCTTTGTCCGATTTTGATGTTGGGTTGAAGTGGTTCAATTGAAGGTGAAGAAGTGTTAGAAAATGCAGTCTTTTCATAGTGCATTACTGATGCATAATCGTACGGAGTATTGAGCGTATTGACCACCGTATTATCGTACTTCTCAAAATTGTTTGCCACATCTGAACAATAAGAAAGAAATCAATTCATTTGTAAGTTTTTTTTTAATGTTATTCTCATGAGAGAAATAAACATTACTTGATGGTATATTTTGCCAATTGACTCTTACATAAGAATCGCGATCAGGTCGTGATTGTTCATGAAAGAATCCTGTTTTAAAAAAGAAAAAAAATACATTTTAATAATAAAGAGGTTTTGATTCGAAATTTTTCAAAATATGAGTTACAATAGTAGCGTAGTATTTCATTAGAAGTGCTTTGCATTCACGGAGGAAGTTAAAAATTATCTCAAATAATTTATCTTACAGGTTTATATCTTTCACAATGATACACTATTTTCCATTTATTACGACGTCCTATAAATTGACGTTTTTCTAAATTGTATCCTTTTTTCTAATGTAATTTTTCTTTTTTATATCCTAACGGAAAACATTCCTGAGTGATCGAAGAAAATCTCGATCTGAAGCTCTGTTATAGGTACAAACTGTGACTCACGAGGGAGGTACCCGAAGTGATTAATCAGTTTTGAGTTCGAACTCTGTGCATAAGGTAGATCCCAGTAAGATATGAAAAACCCCAAAAAGATAAGGGCCCATAGGCCTTTCGTTCAGAGTTATAGCCATTTTACTGGAATTTTCGCCTA